TAAGCCAGTCTCTGTATCTGTTTAGGAAGACCTCTAATGCTATTCATTAACCCTCAAACATGTTAGTTTACCCACCATGATTTGGGCACAGTGACAAAGCATCTTCTGTCCACTCCAATCTACACTGCCTTTCCTTCTCCTGTGCTGAGTACTGGGGGAAATCACCTTCTGATCCAAGGGAAACCCTTCTCCTTTCATATTTCTTTGACAAGTTTCTCTATGCCCATGGTTTCTCTTCTCCTAAAGACTAAGGTTTTGTCAAACAATGAATGTATCACAATTTAAGCAAAGAAAATATGGCCAAATTCTCAAATATTCAGGGAATGACAACTAAGTCATCACTGCCACCTGGACAAAAGGGAATGGAATGTAAGACACCACTGACTCAATGTATCCTGATTTCAGGTATGCTGAGATGTAAAAAAGAAAACAACAAAAAAAAGTTCCTAGAATGAATGAAATATACTTGCTGGAGTTCTGTGATATACTAATTCCATTTTAAATAAGGAGTTTTATATTTTTACAAATGATATTTAAATACTTGGCAAAATGCTATGGATCACATTTTTAAAAATTTATTGAGCTTAAAGATTAATAATGTTGTTAGCAAGACTAGCTAGGTATTAAATACGCTAAGAAAATGGAAATACCAGTTAATGGCAGAAACCAAATGCTATGAAAAGTTAAAGGAAGGATAATAAGGATGGTCAGAAGGAGGAATTCTTACTGATTAGCAAGAATTGATGAAAACAGAAACTGATCATTATTATGGATGTCAAAATGTTAAAGGCATGAAAAACTAGGCTGCTCTGTGAATAAAACATTAGAAAGTTTGTAACAGCTAATGCTGTTTTATAATGCAAGTTTCTAATAGGTTATCTAATATTGCTGCAGTCTGCCTTAAGTCCATTAAAAATGGTCAATCATAATCTAACACAGGATAGAATTAAAAGGTAAAGTATTACTTTAGAAATACTCAAGTTCACTATATGGAATATAAACACAAAATCACACCAATATACACATACTTCTAAGATATATTCATATGTAAGGCATTTTATCATGTATATAATATATTTACATGGATCCATTTTAAAAGTGGTTTTTCCTCTAATTTCTTTTATATTAAATAAAAGCAAGCAAATTACATCAAGAGAAAAACATCTATCAAATGTCAATAGATTAGATGAAAATCATTAAAATTATAAGTAAATCATAATCACAAGTACATAAGAAAGTGATTTTATTTACTCTCAAAGGCTGCCTATTTGATATTCTTCTGGATCTAAAAAGTCTCTTGATAGAACACAGCTTAAAACCACTGCTCATAGACCCAACACCAAATACTGACTGTATTAGTTTCCAACAGATGCTGTAACAAAGTACCACAAACTGAGTGGTTTAAACAACAGAAATTTATTGTCTTAACATTCTGGAGGCCAAAAAAAATCCTACTATTAAGTCAGGTTAACATTTGGCATCCAATATCACATACAATTTAAAAGCTAATTTAAGGCTGAAAAATACAAAAACACAGACAGTAAGTGAAATATTCATACAATTAACAAATGAGTAAGAATAAATAAAATATCACTGTTGTCAACTGTGAACTACATTGCAATTTACTTTGGCTTTATGGTTTTTTTCTTTACTTTTTTTTTTAACCCTTCTTGCAGTGTTAGGCCTTATTATTACAATGACTTATAATATCAATGGTTCAGAAAAGCTCAACATTGAGGATTTACTTAGTGACATTGAGATTTGTTTTCATCATTTTGTCTTACCAATATATTATTTCTAGCTTGTAAATACAAAATACAATAATAGCTTTAAAACTTTTATTACTAAAATTCCTGCAGAAAGAAAATAGTTTTGCCACTGCAACTCTAAAACTCTCTAGCTCCTGCTTTCACCATTGAAATAACTTTATATTTTTTATTATATGTTTATTAAATGCAGCTATCCTTTATAGCAGAATAATTAGAATTTTGTTGTCTTCTCCCTATCATTTATCTTATTTCACTATGTCAGAATCAAATGTAATACTGTAAAGAAAGTAATACTAAAATCTTAGAACAGTTTTCCAATATTCATAAGTGTTTCAGAAATAGTTTACATAAAACTGAGATGTTGACTTGCTCTAAAGCAAGTTTTTCAAGGATCACTGTAGGAGGCAGTATTTTGTTGCCCAGTTGTAATCATTGTATTTATTTAAGACTTTTGCAACTCAGACTCTGCAAATTTATCCTCTTAAACCTCTTTCAAATTCATCTATTAATTTAGCCATCACCAACTCTCTCCTGAATTTTTACAACTCCCTAATTCCAATTTTTAATTATTCTCTTCTCTGAAGTCTTGATACTCTTTCCACAGGTCAAAGCTAAATTTTCCATATAGTAATGTAGATAAGTATTTATGCATTAGATAACATGGTATTATGCATTAGATAACACTTCTGATTTTGAAGAACTAATATTTTGAGATTTTTGTAACAACTATAATAGGACAATATCAGATTTCTATTAATGACAAAGTCAGTTACTGTTCATATATCATCACTTGTTGCCTAAATTAGCAATTGAAGAAAATGTTAAATTACAGGTCAATAGACTTGCTTGGATCTTTTGGGGTCCATGCTGGTTAATTAAGATCCCCTACAATGGCTCCCTACTGTCCTCCAGATAAAAATTTCTGTCCTATGGCTTAAGGAGCACTTAATGACCTGATTCCTTGCTACTACTCACCCTGTTGTAAACTCATCTTCGGCAGCTAACACTGACTCAAACTCTCACCTTCAGACCTCTGCAACGTTATTCCCTTTGCCTGCGATACTTTCCCCATTCTCTTTGCCTAGTAAGCTACCAGTCATCGTGCTGGTGTCAGTTTATCAGTTTATATATCACTGTTTCAGGAAAGACACTGTTGGGTGCTCTCCACTGTTGCCATAGCACCCAGCACTTACCCCTATCATAACAGTTACCAACCTGTTAAAACTGCCCTCCTCAGTGAAACTATAAACACTTGAACTGTGTCTCAAATTCCCATTCCTTGCATACCGCCTGGCACAGAGTAGGCACTTCAATAATTATGAAAGGAAAGATATAAGGGAAATTCCAATTTATGTGCTATTTCATGACCTTGAATTCTATCCTTAATTCCTGATTGACCTTCACAAAAGCAAGCTGTAGGTCACAATGGGAACCATTAAAGTGTAGGATTCAATTAATACAAACCCACTATTTTTACAAGAATCACTAGCTGTGATGATTTTTACCATCTTTCAATACTAAGTAAATAATTAGACAAATACATTAAAAAAACCTGTATCAAGAGATGGTATGTATCTAAGCAATTCCCAACTGTGCACAAATGACTCCAGAGTGGAGTGGAGGGTTAACAGGCCCCCTCTTAGGTAAGTGTTACCAGATTCACTGAGGTACAGGGAGGGCTTTCAAACTATAGGCCCTTCAATTCTTGTATTCAGCCATGTTGCTGCGAGGAATGTGTGGACCTCTTTAAGTTCATTGTAGTGGTAAAAGGATATGAACAACTGCTTTAAATTGGTCCAACAGCAGACCAGGCAATGTTATGTCAACAGACCTTGTAAAGAAGTTATTAAAATGGTTTCTGTATTATTTTAGCTATGCTGAGTACCAAAGGCTTGGGGGCAGAATACTATGCCGGTGTTGTTTTCAGTGTCATGTCATGAATTAAAAACACAGAGAAGCTAGAAGTGGGCCTGAAAAAAAACCAGTGAAGACAGATGACCTAAAATCGGAATCTACAAACTGCTGAGGAAGAACTGAAGTCATAGTCTGGGGAAGGATTGGAAGCTGTGTCTGAGTGGTGATAGGTCAAAATATGACTACACAGGGCTTTGAATAATGAAATTTAAAAATGTGAATTTTATCCTAGGCCGAATGAGGCACTACTGGTTTCTAAAGAACGGCACCATTACACGGCTAAAGTGATACTCCTGGGAAGACCGACCTAAGGGTCCTAAACAGGATCCCTGAATTAAGGGGTTGAAAACAGCGAAACCAAAGATGAATAATACTCTGAACTAACTGCTTGGCAGAACTTATAAAACACTAGCAGACAGACCCTTCCACCTGTGATGAGAAATGTAAAGAGAATGGGGGGAGAGTTATCTATGAGGCATTTCAATTTAATGTAACTATAAAAAGAACCATTTGTTGATACTTAATTTTAATTCACAATGGCGGTTTTCCTCTTGTTGCATATGGCTGTTTAGTTTTTCAATAGGTGCAATATGAAAAAAGTCAGAAGAAACTGAAAAAGAAAATGCTTTTAATTTTCAAAAGAAATTCACGGGCAAAAATCCTTCTAAAATTAAGATGTCCATAAAATATTTTTAAAGTAGTACTCTCTACCAAATTTTCGAATGTACGTGGCAATTTTATACTGAACTAGGGAAGATGACCTTTATCTTAACATGGCCGGTTTTGTAAGAAAAGTCTTTTGCTTAGTACTCACAGTCCACTGAAGCATTAAGGTTTATGATCACAATCTGGAAATTACCAACCGGTTAATTTTTATGGTCATTTTTATGATTTAAAAAGTCATCTATTCGGACTTACCGCGCTGTACAATGAGGCTGTAAAAGCTTTAGTTAGGTGAACAAAGGTGTGCCCGAGCTGGGTAAGCGGACACGCTCTACCTGCAGATCTGAGCGCCAGTTTGCACACGGGGAGGCGCGGTGTAGCGAGGGCGCCGCGAACCCGGTGTTGCCCTAGGACACGCCCACACTCCTCCCCTCCACGGTCGGCCCGGTTTCATTCCCGGCGTCCGCGGACTCCCCCGGGGCAGGCTGAGTGTCTCGCCCCGGCCTCGAGCACAGACAACCTGCCCCATCTCCCGCGGTGTGCCCTTTCCTCGGCTCGCGGAGACAGCCGGGCCTCCGGCTCCGGACCCCGCCCCGAGGGCGCCTGAGGCGGGAGAAGCCTGGTTGGGGCTGGCGGAAAGGCCCGGTCCCGTACCTGGGCTAGGACGCTGAGGCAGCCCTCGGGCGCCGCGACGTTCACGCGGCCATGGTACCACGCCGCTCCTGCTCCTGCCAGGGCCACCCCGGCCACTGCTGCCGCCAACGGGCGAGGGCTCGGTAACACCCGCTGGCCGGCCGCGAGCCCACGCCGCAGTCTCCCGCCCCAGGCCGCCAGGCGAGCGCCCCTAGCCGCCGCCATCTTTGCGGAAGCGCCCCATCGCCCCGCCCGCTTCGCCGCCGGCTTCCACGAGCTGGGAACTCCCGCCCGCCGCGGGTCTCGCGACATCTCGGCGGCCTCCGCCAAGCCTCGCTAACCTGCGCAGTGTACGTGGCTGAGCTGGCAGAGCTCCGGGAGTGGGGACCCGGGGTGGCTCCCGTTCTGCGATGGGAATGGGTAACTAGAAAAGTCGGGCCGCAGCAGAAGCAAGCCGCCCCAATCGAAGACGAGACAGGGCCCGTACTGCGTACGAAGGTCCTCCTGTTCTGTAAGGGACGTTGTGGCATCCCTTGGTCAGTAAAAGAACCGGTGTTTGGTAGGCGGGGCGGGAAAGAAGGTGCGTGAGCGAGGCAGTGCCGACGGTGACCGATAAACTGCGTAGTTCGCTTTTCTGGTGGGCGTGACCTTAGGAATGGAATGCCATCCCTTAAGTAGTGGGGCGCAGAATTGGAAAATTCTCGTATTCCTGAAAACTGGCTTTGCTCTAAATTATACAAGCCTACCTCTGTTAAGAATTTCTTAAAACTATTTGTATCCTGTTACTGAGAAATCTGTATAAGCTGCAGATACTTTCAGGCCATTTAAAATAACATCAGAAACGCATCCAGCTGCTGCTAGTAACCCTTATTTTTTAAAAATGTGTGTGTATTCTCCTTTTTTCACTTCAAGTTAGATAAGCTAACTTTTTAAAACTTAGTTTTTTGTGGCGCAATATACATAACTACCGCTTTAACCATTCTTAAGTGCCTATCATTGACGTAAGTAATTCACATTTTGTGTAATCGCAGCCATTCATCTCCAGAACTTTTTCATCTTGCACAGTCTGCAAACATAAAAAAAACACTAGTGTCTTCCCCATCTGTTTGTTCCTCCTTCCTAGTGCCATGTTCTTGACTACTCGAATGTCTTGCTAAGTCATATCCTAGTCCACCCTCCCACTGATGATGTATTTTCTACAAACTCCCAGACAAAGCCACTCTTTATTTCAGGCAGCCTCTATTTGTTGAATGTCGAATTTAAACTCTGTTCTAATCAAGTGTTTGACAGTATGTGTTCTCCCATTTAGAACCAGGTCAGGTGCCTCAGCGTACCTAACCTGTGTCCCTATCTTCAGGGGCACAGCTGTTTCCCTAGTACAAGGTTGGGAACCTCAGTCCTTGTTGTGCCATTGGTCATAAATGTTTTAGCCTAGGCAGATAACTTGGCTTGATTTTGTAGCCTC